ACAAAGACAGGATGAGTCTGTGGGGAGCGACACAGCAGGAGGGATGCTGTCTGCAGGCTATGCTTGGGCTGCTAGTCACCAGGAATCACAGCCCAGCCAGCATGGCGAGCTGAGCTGGAAGCATTTTGGGAAGTCAGGCGGGAACAGGCAGTGAGGACCAGCTCACCAGGCAGTCAGGGGACACAGGGCACGGTGAGCCAGACACAGCCACAGTGGTCTGGGCTTCTGCTCAGACACCAGACAGGACACATCCAGGCAATGTTTGAGCCTCTCAGCACCCTGCTGAGGAGCCCAGGCTGGTTTGCAGGTGCAGAGGCGAGCTATCTCCCATCTGGGGATGCTCAACCACATGGCAAGCACAGAAGGGACCTGCTGGGCTACACAGCTCCAGCCTTACCGAGCCATCTTCCAGGCGGAGATGGAGAATGTCATCTCCTTCCTTGTAGTCTCTGGTTATTTCCGCCACCCTCCAGACTTCGACACAGTCAGGGATCCACACCCGGGCACCCTGCAGAGATCCACGGCCAAGAGACAGGGAAAGCATCTGACCACCAGCCTCCGAACCAAGCATCACAGCCCTCCCCACAGTTCTCACTTAGGACAGTCAGCCCAGTGCTCAGCATCCCTGTAGCGGGGCAAGCCACGGGACCCAGCACCCTGCTAGGTGCCCCATGGCCCCTTGGCTCCTGCAGGCAGGGGTCCTACCCAGCTGCACAGGAAGGTGCCTCTGCTGGAGCCCCACTTCTCCCCAGCTCTGCTGCCCACCCCAGGAAGGTCAGCACCTCTCCTGCCCTTGGCACGGGGGGCTGTTTCTGCCCCAGCCCGAGGATGCGATCAGGCCTGCTGCTGGAGGGAAGGTTTCTGGAAACTCAGAAGATGCTGAGCACAGGCATTTCTGAACACCCCGCGTGCTGGGGACGCAGCCACATGGTTTGGCTGGGCAGATACCAGGCTTGAAAGCAGATAACATGCAGTACAGATCCCTTGCTAGCTACTGAGCGGATCCAGACACCATTGCCAGCTCTGCAGACCTAGCTACAGGCCAGAGCACAGGGACAGCAATAAGAAAAATCACCCCATGCCCTTTTTGCCCCCCAAATCTGCAGCTCCTTGGGGCCAGCCTTGTGCAAGGGACCAGCTGGCACCCATGGGACCAGTGCTCCCTGCCTCCAGCACTCTGCCTGCTGGAGGCTGCTGCCAGCCTCAGTTTCCCCTCTGCAGACAGCGGGTGCTGATGAAGTAGTTCTGCAGCATGGTGAGCCCTGACTTCCCTCCGCACCCAGACCTGAGCGTTAACACCTCCCTCACGCCTGGAAAAAGCTTCTTTGAAGCCACCCCGCAGTGAGTGGGATGCCATGCTCAGCAGGAGCAAAACAGCGCAACACCACGAGGGTAGAGGCGCAAAAACCGGGCCAAAAAAACCTTAAAACCCTGCTGCAGGCACCCTGTCAACTGGCACAGGGTGACCTCCTGTGCTCCTGGGCCAGGGAACAGCAGCTCCTGCTGCCCCCACTCCTGGCACGGGTGCCCACGGCCCCGCTCTGTGCCAAACTGTCAGACACCATCTCAGCAGCTTCTGCTAGACTGCAGGGAACAGGGGCTGCTTCCAGGAGGCCTTCCGAGCAGGCAGAGATGAGGCCATACTGCAAGCTTAAAAAGGGGAGGGGGATGGAATCTAATGGTTGCAGCTTTGCTTTCGGGCTGAGATGGGAGCATGGATCTGTTTCCACAAACTCTGGAAGCTATTGCAGAGCAGCGACGGGGCTCTAACTCATCACGCTCCCACCCCAGAGGGCTGGGGCCAGCCTCTCGCTAGAAACTGGGGCCTGAAAAACCATCCTGGTTTTGCTGATTTTGCAAATTCAGGGAACTTGGCTTGCAGCAAATGTTTCCAGGTCTGCAGTGTGCAAAGCACATGTGTTAATGCATCATTAAAGTTGATCAAGCAAGCACTAAATAGGCTGGAAGCCTGGGGAGGGGGAAGAAAGGGGCTGAACTTCGGGTTCACATCCAAGGAGTCATCAGAAGACTGAACGTCTGACTCTGCAGTTGAAGTGACGAGGGCAGGAAGGGGATCAGGTTGCAGGGGCCGCTCAGCTGAGGAGCGGCGACTGGAAGCCGTTCTCTTTTATGAGCAGTAGCCACTGGGGGGAGCAAAAATTGCACGATGTACAGCTTCCCGGCAAGGCACTAACGGATTTTAGTCTGAAATCACAGCTGGACAAAAGAGCATCCCTGCTAGCGAGCCCAGCTCGCCCCTCGGCCGCTCCCCAGCTCTCCTCCGAGGGAGCGCCGGGGTTGGTGCTCAAGCTGCAAAAGCTGGAAGGTAACCTCAGGGCTCCACAGGGCACTAGGCTAAGCCAGTCACCGGTCCCAGCCTGGCCGGCGATCCGGGACAAGGCAAGCCACAATGCCTTAAGCACAGAAACCCTCCTTGCTTTGGCCAGGTTGGCACCTCAGTCGCGCCGCGATGACGGATGCTGCGCCTCTGACCTCTGCAGAAACATCAGTACCCTCCAGCCCCGCAGGCTAGCGTTGTACCTCCAGGGAGAAAGGACCATGTTTAGGGTCTGCCCTAAAGCTGTAGCGATCATTTTTAATACACAGCAGCAAAAGCGAGAAGCAAGAGCCTGTCCTGCTGCCTGCTCGCAGCAGAAGCCTTCTCGATGGGCAGAGCTGGACCAAGGCAGAGGGAGCAGGATTTCAGGACCCAGCCAGGGGATGAAAGCAGCCAGGCCAGTTGGGCAAGAAGCAGGACGGATGGGTGCCCCGGCAGCACCAAACCCTTCTTCTCACCTGTGACCAGCACCCCGGCAAGGCACTGCACTT